ATTTTGAAAAAAATGAAGCTTTGTCCATTATGGTTTAACTTCTCTCGTCAGTCTCTCTCTGCTTCAGCGGTGTTTCACGTGTTGCCCCTGATTTTCTCCCTCTCTTCTTTGGGGTTTTCTTCTCCACTAGTACTTGACAATCGGGAATCTGAATTATTACTTTCAGGTTTTAGTTTTTGAGTTTCAGTTTCTCTCTGTTTTCGAATTTTTACTGCAATTGTTGATAAGTCACGATAAAAATGACTTAACTTGTTGATTCAAAACCTAATTCCTTTAAGGGAAAATTGTACATAATAGCAAATTAATAATCTAAAATAAATGGAGTAGCTAGGGTTTGATTTAATTGTGCTCCATAGCAAACGTTAGCTAAAGTTTGTCAGCCGTCTCTCTCAAAAATCTCGCTCGTCAATCTCAATTCTCGCTAGCCTCTCTCGCTTTATATAGCAGAAGTGTATAAATTTTGTTTCTGTTTTGTATTAAGCGAGAGAAAATTGTATATACACATGCAAAAATATATATCTTCGTGCTATACACTTAATTATACAATTTAAAAACATTTTACCTCAAATATTGCAGAGAAAAAGGCCAACAAATTATACAATTGCGAATTACACAATTGCAATGAAATACAATTTTCTCTATATTTATACAACATAAGTGTATATATTGTGTTTCTGTTTTTGTATAAAGCGAGAGAAAAACATATATCTTCTTGCTATACACTTATAATTATGCAATATACATATATTTTAATTCGATTCAACTGTATGCAAAGCAAATTTTATAAAAAAATTGCAGCGAAATAGGTAGCGAATTATACAATTGTGCATTATACAATTGCAGCGAAATAAGCCAGCGAATTATAAAATTGTATATGTATAGCGAATTATACAGTTTTATGTTTGCTATGGAGCGCAATTATGCAAACTTTGTTATAGCATACAAATATAAATTTTTTGTTTGCTATATGTGAAAGTTGCCCTTTCTTTAATTAGTTGATTTGAATCCAATTCAAGGACCCAATCAAAGTTGGAATACAAACAAAAATACAATGATTTTATTGATACAAATATTTAAGTTGAGTTATTTTATTAATACAAAATAAAGTTTAATAATTTTATTGGATAGATTCTCAAAGTTGAGTAACGTTTTGTGATATTAATTCTTAAAAAAATAATAATATGTGTTTTTGTCCCCATTAGGTTTCAATTTGAATTTATTTATTTTTAGATATTTCCTAAATGTTCAAATATAAAATAAAATTTCTATAATCATTATTGTAAAATGAAGATAATGATTATTTACCATTAGAATATTTTTACTTGTAAAATGTGTTTAAATATATGAAACTGTGAGAAATTATTATGTTTCACTTAAAGATGAATACTAAATATTTAAGTTGTAAAATAAGTTTATCAAAATAAAAATTGGGTCAAAATAAAAGCTTAGTCAAATATTCTTCAAAAATCATGTGCAAACTTTTCAAATTTGCAATAAGTGCTAAAAATAAAATATCAATGATTTATAATAATACACATTATCAATAAGTGTTTTAAATTATAAATTTTTTTATTTCATTTTTTTATTAACTATATGCACAACTACAAAAGTTAAAAAAAAGAAAAAAATAATTTATTTGATTCATTATTGATAATTTGTGTTGTATGGACTTTTTAAAGGTCCAATATCCTATATTCTTTGGCCCAGTGGACTTAATATGACCTTTAAGATTAAAGGAAATAGCAGTAAAAATGAGAAAATTTAAATACAAACAACAAACTTAAATATTTGTGCAAATTGTATGTGTTTTGCCAAATCTCAAAACTTAAATTTGTTTCTATCCTTCCACCACTTTGAAAATTTAAGTTTTTTTTTTAAAACAATCTAAAATAGAATTAATGGCATGAAACTAAATTATAATAAGATATCTTAAATATATACATATATACGTATACAAACTAAAATATCATTAAATTATTATTAATTAAGAGTGTTATTTTTTCGTTCATCCATATTTTTTATTTTAAATTTTAAACTTTAAACCTAGATTAAGGGTTTAAATTTCACATAATAACATTATTATTTATAAAAGGAAGTATTAATCTTTAGTTTGAGATGTCATCCATTTGTTTGCAATATATCACATTGGATACTAATGCAAAACTTTTATTTATTAATACAACACATTGGATGAAAATTTGAGTTATTCAATTCAAAGTTATAGAATATTTTTGATAAAAAGTGGAATCATTTTTCTTTCTTTTATTTTTTACTTTTTTTTTTTACAATGTTCAATATTGTTTCAATTATAAGTGAAACTAAAATTAAAAAATGCAATATTAAATTTTTTTTCTAGGTCAAGTCTAAAGCAGACGTTTTACTAGCATTACCGTTGAGTTAATCTTAACTACCTAACAGAGGTAAAAAGAAAAATAGTTTTTGAAATATCTCCAATTCAAGTGAAATAAATTAAAATACAAGGAAGATGTAAATAATAAAATATCATTACAAAGAAGGGACGGAGGATTCCTAAAAAAAATGATCAAAAATAACAAATAGAGTGATGGTTGAAACTCAATAAACAATAATAATAATATATATCTCAATTAAAACTTATAATATTACAACTAATATAATAATAACACATTAATAAAATTAAAACTCTCCAAAAAATAAAATATTTCACGACCTAAAAAACGATATATATAACTATAATTTTAAGTCCACATGATAATGTTTGTTAGCTATACTTGAGAATATACATGACTAGCTAAGAAAATTTCCATAATAATATAATATATGGTTTTTCAAAACACATCTTCCTCTTGTGACATTAACATGCATGCTTTAGAATTATTAATCATATATATATCCCTCCTTTGTCTTTTAGTTTGTAATATAATTTTAATTAAATTTCTTTAGGTCAACACACATAAACACATGCATGACACGATATTTCCACTCATTCAACTTGTGAAGTATTTTCAATTAATGTTTTTTTCCTTTATTCTATTATTTGGTAACTCTATTTTATTATTTCTCTATATTATGTTTTTATTCTTTTGACCGTTTGAATATATCATAAATATTTCTTCTATCTTTCACGAAATAAAAATAAAATTTACGTGTATATATATTATATCTTTCAAAAATCCATGAAATTACATCAAAGTTGTTATAAATAGTCTTTTGTTTAGTATTCATGACGTGAGGGGGAGACAAAATATATTTAGGGGGATCATTCGAATTCCCTCAACAGAAAATATTTACTATTTATGCAAAATTAAAATTATTTTTAGATATATATAATAGATGTAACCCCCTTATATGTTTATGTCTCAGATTTTAGATTTTTTATTAAAAATTCTGACTCCGCCGCTGATCATGCAAGGTCTTATGATCAGTATTTTATATTAACTAATTTTGGTAAGCAAACACTTAAAAGACAAAAAATATTATTAAAATAATTCATGCATAGTTGGGGTGTAGGTGGACCCTGTATTTTTTTGGTAACTTATTCACAAATTTCCAACTTTAAAATTGTTTTTTTTATTATATGTAAGTTTCTTAGAAATTATTAATGTACTTGAAAATTAGAAAAATTTAACTAGAAATTGAATTGGACCTACATGTTGGAAAATCTTGTTAGAATATCTAATGTCCAGATTTTCCCCAGGCCAAGGAGTCCACCATATTCTAATTTAGTATCAAAATAATAATTTTAAAATAAAATAAATCTAATATTTTTATACAAATAGTTAAACAGATTTATTATTTATCTTTTCTTGTTATGTACATAGAGTATACAGTCGATTAGACAACTATTTAGATTAATAATTCTTCTATGTATAAGTATTGAGCAAATTGAAAAAAAAATTACTATTTATTAATGTCATTATAACCGGCAGCATAGGGTTCTATCGTTGTCCATATTTTTTTTAAAAATATTTTGGAGGAAATTAAAAATAATTTTTTTAGAAAAATAAAATGAATTTCTTATTTAATTATCTATGTTAGATATATAATATATATTTGTTTATTTTTAAAATACTATATTTAAAAATACTAAGGTGGACGGGGATCGACGCATGGTGGGGATGAGAGTTATGAAGGAACGACGGATGTGAAATGTGTATACTCTTCCCTTAATTTTTTCTATTTCAATGTGAAATTTAGCAAACATATTGCATCCCTTCTTCGAAAACTTACTAATCTTGTTTGATCTGTCCTCATCAACCGTCTTTTGTATCGATTATGCTATCATAGAAATACCCTCTTTAAAAAAGAAAAGAGAGTAGGATTTGATAAAACACAAGAATTCAATTAAAATGGAGATATTTTTTTTTTTAAAAAAAAAAATCAAGATCAGTTGAACTGGATTTGTCTTGGTCGTTTTGAAAATAATTATTTAAGTGTATGTTGATACCTCATGTCACTTTTTTTTATTCTTAGTAAACATTAGTCTTTGGAGAAATCTCATAGAAATTCTACCTTTCCTCAAACTTCATTTTCTTGTAAACTTCTTGGTCTTTTAGAATATTAAAATTTAAGCCGCTAAAAAAAGTTAATTACTAATATTATATATCTTTTAACATATTATTCTATTCGTGAATCTGATTCTTTTTTATAAGTCAAATAAGTGAAAATATGACACTGAGGTTTAAACTTCCGCCTAGTACTTTGCAAGTTTGAACGTTTAGAAAGAAAATATTTATAACTTTTAATTACTTAATTATATTATGTCTGTGACACTCTTTCTTGTGTAGGTCTGATTTGTTTTCTTGGATTGTGTGATAAAAATAAATATAAACTCGAAATTTGAGGGAGTAATGGTTAAAACTTTAAACTATATATTAAAAACAACATAATTACCTAATAAGCAATATATTCTCTAAATTTTTATATTGTCCCACTTCATAGAATTTAAAATGCTCTTATAACTTACTTAATTGAGATGTGTAAAGCTAAACACCTTTTTCTTTATTCATCCATCTCTTTCAACAACACATTAACCAAACTCTTTAAATAACACAAGATTAATTGTTACACATACACACATGATCAATGACTAATGAGAACACCATAAACTCTAATAATAATTACTTCTCAATTAGTATAGAAGAATTATCAAATCCTCAATCTTTTACCCTTCAACAACTATTTCATGCACTTGAAACAAATACTTCTTCTGGCATATTAGGAGATCCTATCGATCTCTATCGTCGTCGAGAATCATTTGGTTCAAACAACAACTTTTCTTCTTCTTCTTCTTATGTGAAGAAAAAAAGTTTTCGTGAATTAATACTTGAAGCATTCAAAGAAAGCACTTTTATCCTTCTATTTTGTTGTGTTGCACTTTCTCTTGTGATTGGGATCAAGAGGAATGGTCTACAAGAAGCCTTGTTTGATTGTGTTATAATCTTCTTGCCAATTTTTTTCGTTTTAAACTTCAGCGTTACTTTCAGGTATAGGTGACAAATGAGCGAGTTAAGCTGAAGTCCAAAAGTTACTTGAGCTGAAATGACCTAAAATGCGAGTCATGACTCAATTTGTCTTGATTTGATTGCTTTATTTGTTCTTTTATAACTTCTTATCATTACCTTATACAACAACATATAGAAAAAAATCATTTTCATGAATTAATTTAGGGCTAGTAAATGAGCGAGTCAATAAGGATTTGATGAGTTATGATTTCATGGGCTAATTTTTTCACGTTTGATTATAGGTTTTTCAAGGAAAGATGGATATCGAAGAGGAGATTATCGCGTAAAAAGAAAGTAATTAGGGTTCTTAGACACCAACAAATTCTACAAATTCCATCTTCTGAAGTAGTGGTTGGTGATATTGTGTTGTTGGAATGTGGTGATCATGTACCTGCTGATGGAATTTTAATTCAAGGTAACTCGTACAAGTTCGATGATGGTAGTACTAGTCATCATGATTTAGTACTACCACGTGAACAGTTGCATCATGTCTTGTTTAATCGTACAAAACTAGTGGAAGGAAGTTGTCAGTTACTAGTAACTTCAGTTGGTGAAAATAAAGAGAGAATCAAGTTGATGAAGTGTGTAACAAGTTCCCAAAATAATAGTCATGAGTGTAAATACTCAAAGATTCAAAAATCAATTGACGAAACGAGCTCATTCTTGGATAAATTGTCCTTGAGTCTCTCATTGATCATTCTTGTAGTTGAAGTTTTTCGATGTTTCTTGTGGAACAAGTCATGGTGTTGTGATAATGATCGCGATCCTAAAGGTATGAAGAACATGATGGAGGAGATAATGAACGAGGCCACGAAATATATGAGGAGGAAGAGAGGTGAAAATTATGTTACCAACAAGGTTAATGGCTTTGTAGCTATGGTTTGTATTTTGGTGTTTTCATTAAAAGATGGACTATCTTTAGGGATGCTTATTGTTCTTTTATATGCATCTAAAGATATGAAAAAGAATGATCAAATCATAGTTCATAATCTTCCATCTTGTGCTAATGGAGCTCTTGTTACCACTTTGTGCCTTAGTAAAACATCTCATTTTGTTGTGAACCATTCAACTTTGGCGGATTTGTGGATTGGATTCGAGAAAATTAATGACTTATCTGTATTCAGTGGCGGAGCTAGAGGTAAGAAAAATGATTCAATCGAATCTTGTCATCTATATACATTATATATAATAAGATTCTAACTAGGTGTACTAACATAGTCAAAGTCAAAAACTTGCTAGGTATAATTTTTTTGAATTTCTATTAATAAAATTTCTGACTACGTTACTCTGCATGCAGATTCTACTAAGGAAGTCCGGAATACATTACTTGAAGGAATATTTATGAATATAATTGGTCATGTTGATGAGGATGCACTTCTTATTTGGGCTGAGAAAATGTTTGGTGGAAATATTGAACAATTTCATGGAAGTTGTAGCATTTTAAATTGTGAAAATTATTATCCTAAGAAAGGATTATGTGGGGTGTTATTAAAAAGAAACAAAGAAGAAATTGGAGAATTTTTGCATGTACATTGGAAAGGAGAACCAAAGTTAGTGTTATCTATGTGTTCTAACTATTATGATATTAATAATGGTACCATGCAAACCCTAGATGAAGAAAAAAGAGAGTTGTTCAATCGAAAAATCGCGAGTATTGTAGCATGTAATGAAGTTCATTGCTATGGTTTCGGTTACAAACAAGTTATAAGATCATCGTTAGAAGAAGAAGAGAAGGAAAATAGTACTATTATCGCGAAAGATGGATTGAGTCCTCTAGGGATTGTGGTATTAAAAAATCCGTATTCATCTGAGTTGAGACGAACGATTGAAGTATGTCGAAAATCTGGGATAGAGGTTAAGTTAATGGTGGATGATGACTTGAATACATCAAGATTAATGGCTATTAATTCTGGAATTTTGAGAATTGAAGAAGATTTACAAGGATCTATAATTGAAGCTATTGAATTTAGAAAAAGTCCAAAAGAAACTCAAATTAATATGTGTCACAAAATTAAAGTAATGTCCAATTGTTCTCCAGCTGATAAATTACTTTTGGTTAATTGCTTGAAAATAAGAGGTGGACACGTGGCGGCAACCGGTTCGTCGATTCGAGATTTACCATCTTTAAAAGAAGCTGATGTTGGAATTTTTTTTGGAAAAAATTGTGTAGACTTAGCTAAACAAGATGCTGATATTACTATCGTTGAATCGAACTTTGGTAAGATCCTAGACGTATTAATCTTGGCCAGGTAAATATGTCTACGTTTTCTTGATTTTTGACCTAACTATTTTGAACTATGACAGTATTTTTTTTTTTTTTGTTGTTGTTATTGTAGGTATGTATGCATAAATCTTGAGAAGTTCATACAATTGCAATTGATACTCAACATTTCTGGCTTTACTTCAAACTTTATTCTTTTAATTCTCAACCCTACAAGTGATCAAGATCAACAATTGACACCATTTCAATTATTGTGGGTTAATCTACTCATAGAAGTTCTTGGTGCCCTTTATTTGTCCATCATAACATCAATCATAAGGCCTCGTGAGTCTAGTTCAGTTGATCAAATCACGTTGAATTTTTATGGGACTATTGTGACCAACAACATGTTAAGGAACATTGTTGTTCATTCTATGTTACAAGTTATACTTCTATTGATGCTTACCATGAAGGGAAAATCATTTCTTCGCGTCAACGAGGAACTGCTGAGTACCATGATCTTCAATATTTACATATTATGCCAAGTTTTTTTATTGATCATTAGTGCCATTGAGATGATCACTAAGACAAGAATCTCTAAAGGGAGAAAATGGTTATTGTTTGTAGTTAGTTGTGTAATTATAGGGATTATTATTGTTTTACAAGTTATATTATTTCAGATTATGTCAAAAATTGATCATTGGAAAAAATTAGGATTTAAACAATGGTCCATTTGTATAGGAATTGCAGCAATATCTTTGCCTATACACTTTGCTGCAAAAATTATTTTTAGTCCATGTAAAGATTCATAATTTTGTTTAGGAATTGTATTTATGTGTTTATTACTTGTATAAGCCATGTATAGTAATTTGTAATTAAATACTAATTACTACCCAATATTCTTGTCTAGGTTTTTCATTTTAGTTGCTTTGTATCTTTGCTAGTGTAATATCATTTTTTTTCCATCCAAACATGCTTCGATTTCCTTTTTTTGAGCAAAGATCTATCAAAAATAACCACTGTATCACACAATAAGAAGGATAACATCTGCATACATTTTAATTTTAATTATCTGTTTCAATTTCTTGATTTTTAATTATTATTTTTTTGTACTTTATGTTAGAATGAAAAGATAGTTATAAGATATTATTAGATTGATGTTACACTTGGCTAAAAGTATACCTAAAGGTCACAATATGATGGCTCATCAAAGTAATCAAAAGATGAATCTTTGAATTGCCTAAAGGCTAAAGGGTCACAATCATGTTATTTTTTAATTGATTCAAGGACAAATAGAGTCATTTGGACTTTCTCGACGAAAGTAAAAAAAAATAAGTTTCATAAGTAACATTTTCATTTCATTTTTGGAAATCGAACACTATCAAAAGACTTAAAGACGCGTGATTTACATTCAAATTTAAGTAACAAAAAAATGTAAATGATTCATGCAACTATTGTTTATTTGCAACATCGAGGTTGTTGTCCTCGCGTTCAGCCATAACAAAATTGTTGGAATTGTCATCCTCATCTCTCCTCTCCATGAAAGAGATCTCGTCGTGGTTGCTTCTATCTGAGCCTCCGTTACTCTTCCTCTTCCGAGTCATGATTTTTGGAACGAGACGTGTTACCTCACTTGACTCTACTTCTACATCGTCATTGATCCGTTCAAATCGAACAGCACTAACCTTTCTGGCATTCCCTGCTAATATCTACACCAAATTTGACAAGATCAGCTACTATACCAACTAAATATCTGCTTATTGTGAAGTTCTTAAGTCTAGTAAGTTCATGGAAATGACGAAAGCTTCAATTTTAGAAGGTAGTTGACGCGTTCAGTGTTAGTTCTTAGCCATAATAAACATACCTCAAGCTTAAACGTTTGGTTCTTCTCATTGTGGTCTGATCGATCAGATTCTGTGTCATTGTAATTGTTGTTCTCGTCTTCATTTCCCCTTTCCAGTATAAGCTTAATCGTCTCACCTGTCCTTGGGATATATCCAAATGCTTCGCAGACAAAACCAGAGACTGTCTCATATTGATGGTCCTGATACCGAAAAAAGAGAAGACGTCAATTAGTGGGACGATTCTAGAATGATTAGCATTAGTTGAAGGCAGTTTCCCCAACCAAAATCATGTTAACACAAGCAAACATAATAGTTATTTGCAGAGCGAGAGGGTTGACAGCTAGGAAATGTTTAAGTTATTTTGTCGTCTCTGCTCAAAAAGGGAAGAATGAAAATTCAAGAGCTCCGAGGCCCCATCCATGTTTTCTTGAACGATGAAATGAACAGAAGGACCCACACAAACTACTCCTGACAAATTAGGGACTACGAGTATGGTTAAAATAGCAGTAAAATGTAGTTTAAAGACAGAAAATTTAACTCTCAGAAGAATAGCACACCTCTGGCATTTTAATATTGAGATCTTCAGAGAGCTGGTCAATGGAGGTATTTGCATCAACATCGTATATTCCCTCAGCCCGCATGACAATATAGCCAGTTTTTTTCTGGATTTCCTCCTGTCACGCAACAAGAAAATACATATACTTCCACATACTAAATATCTATGTATTCTATAACTGAAGAGGGGTATCCATCAGAGGTAACTATGAACCTACAAATAACTAGCTGTTCAGAGAAGTGGAAAGAGGGACTCATAAGTCTTACTTTTGAATCATTTTCGTCAAAGATTTCGCCAACAATTTCCTCGACCACATCTTCAAGGGTTACAATCTGTTTCATAGAGATAATGTGAAGACATTGTTATAGATAATTAAATGATAGATACACACAGTGGATAAGAAATTTTGATGGAATTAACAAAGCACTACAACCAAGAAACAGAAACGATGAGAGAGAAAACTTACTCCAATGGTTCCTCCATATTCATTAAGAACAACAGCCATGTGTACCTTTCTGATGCGGAACTCTCTAAGAAGGTTCCACACTGACATAGAATCTGCATTGTTACAAGATTACTTTGTTTGCCTCCTTGGGTACTATTGTGAGTGGAAAGAAAACACGAGCAATGTTTATGCATTTTATAAGCATAAAGCATAAAATCATAATGTTTTAAGGGAGACAGATTCTAGGAAATAAGAATGATTCCCGCCGATGGCAGCTGGTTAAATAGGAATAAATCACATCTCAACAGTGTGAGAATCTGAAAGGCAGTACTACAGTCAGCAAAGTGGCTTCGGTATTGTTAATTATACTAAAAAGTATGTACATCTATTTGTTGATTTAGTTATGGTAGACAGTACATGACGTCTCTGATAAGGATATGAAGTGGTACTTAAAATACCTACTGATCAGCAACTTATATCAGTAATTTAAATTATTGACTTTGCAGATCCATGGTTTAGGTGACATAGAACTACAATTTCTTATTTATACATCAGTCAACATCAGGAAGAAATGTAAATTACCGGGAACAAAGTATGCAGGTTTATGTGCAATGTCTCCCACAATAGAACTTTCCAGCAGTTCTCCCTTCAAAATTAAAGAGAATTTTCAGCATGCTATGAAATTTATGTGTTCAATTAGAAATGACACCACGATAATTTTGAAAGAGACTGGCTGAAGTTGTGGATGCTAAACCTTTTGTACATAATCTAGGAGATCCATGGCATATGCAATGCCAACAATATTATCTATACGTTGCTCAAAAACGGGCACCCTGAAAATTCATAGCCAAACTCTTTTAGCACCTTTTGAAGGAAACTTCTTCTCTATGCAAAAACAAGCAATTAAAAGTCTATCAGACCTGGAGTACTGATGTGTCACCCACAAACTATGGAAATCAACTAACGTTGCACTGGCATCGATTGCAACAACATCAACAAGAGGTGTCATTACCTCCCTGACATGAGTGTCTTTAATCTCCAACACATTTTCAATCATATCCTGCAAGAAAACAGAGCCATAGAAGGTTCATCTGAATTAAGTTTTAGGAGATATATATCAATTGCTCTGCCCCAGTCCCAAACAAGTTGGGATTGGCTATATGAATCCTCACGTCTCCATTTAAGCACAACTCATGTCACTGTCATTACCAAACCAAAATAAAATTAAAAAAATTACAGCAGAACTCATGTCACTTGCAAGACAACACATTTTCAGCCATGTCCTGCAAGAGGACAGACATTAATGGGTCAGGCTTTATTTTAGGAGATATTATCTCCCCATAAAAGCAAGCAAAAGATGATAGTGTTTGGTTAAGATTTGAGGAGATTTAGTCTCACAGAAAGTCATAAAATCAACATTTGGTTGCTCCTTTTTGTTTTCCTCATAAATAATACTTGCATAAGTTATGCAGGAATCAACGTATTATTTATTTGAGATAGATTGTGTTCCCATAGTTGTGTCTAAAAGAATGAGAATTAATTTGTAAAGGGAAAGATGATAAAACTGATAGTACAACAAAATACTACAAGTGCAAACCAACGCACGAGTAAGTTACAAAAGATACCTACTTCTGCATGGAAATCAACAAAGTAAGAAAAATCAGAGAAATATATTCAAAGCTGGTCAAATCAACTTTTAAGCATTTTTGGCTTATTTAAACCAAAACTGCTTAATCCAACTGTTTTTAAGCTCCAAAAAAAATCCATCAAAGATGGCATGCTAAATTCCTGTAAAAGGTGGCAGCTGTGTCTTAAACCACAAAGTCATTTTTTTGGCCAAGGGAAACAATGTGGTAGGCTGAAGATGCATGTCAAGGCAAAATCGAACAAAGCCTTCCTCTTCCAGAGAAGACGAGCCAAGGCACAAAGCACTGGCTTCAGCACCAATTATACAGCAGATGTAACATTGGAGGGCATGAGTAAGGTGGTGCATAGAAGAAGCAGGGTGAAATTTTTTGTCAATCATTTCTTCATGTTTTGGATGTTATGTTTGTTTGACAGTTCTTCCCAAGAAAAAATCATTAGCATAACTCTCTCATTAATGTTTAGGTCATATATTTTGTTGTCTTTTAAAGAGAGTAAAATAATACACTTGTATGTAGCTACATTCAGTGTTGTCAAAGCGCGCCTAAAGTGCGGTCAGCCACGCTTTACCTGTGCTTCAGTCTCAACATCAAGGATCTAAGGCACTTCTCCTTGACAATTCGTGTAACCCTGAAGAGCTGATACTACACAAGTGATATTTCACTTCGTCGTAAACATTTTTCAATTTCTTTGTTCTTAGATTTGTTATTCATGCTTACAATTATTAGTCTTGGACCATGCAAACATATTTGTATTTTTTTCCACTCACTTCTTTCTTCTTCAAGGTCCATGCTTTATTTGTGCTCAAAGCACCAATAGACCTTAGTTTTGTTTTTTTGCATTTTTCGCCTTTGATAACACTGGCTCCATCGACTTCCAACTATGTCACCATGAATCTCCAATAATAACATGCAAGATAAGAACAAAACACAGAGAGTGCTAAAATAGTGCTCATTCAAATGGACATGATAAACACATCTCAAGATGCTGCATTTGGTACAATGGTCACATACATGAAGGCTATTCTAATGGACAACAAATTCTATGTGAACTAGACAAGCTTATGTATGATTAGAATATGCATGTGCTTCACTGGTTCATATTTGGTAACAGTTGAGGTTCAAGCATAAAAAACAGAAACCCAGAAAACACATGAACTCACCTGCTCTTCCTCCTCAATTGCGCCACTTAACTCCGCCCCACGCAGCATCAACTTCAATTCATCCTCAGTGACATATGGTTCACTAGATACCAAAATGAATATAAATTTAGTGACGCAACTTAAAGTTTTGGCAAATGAGAATGATGTAAAATCAATGCTGGATTTAGAATGGTTAGAGACAAAAGTGAAGGAGGATCCAACTAACTTCTGTCAGCTTGTTTGTAATTTCAGTACCAAGAGTACTGGTTCCTTTTCTAATAATATATATTTTATCAAAATAAAATATTTGGACTGAGACTATTGCCCATACCCTCAACCAATGTGAGACCCCAAGACTTTTCACATATTGTATTTATAAACATAGTTTTAACTTTTCTACAAGTTATTATGGATGAGAACGCTTAATAGTTGTTTGGCCATAGGATTTGGGGCTCGAAAAAGTAGGATTTCAGTTTATTTTACTCAACCCAAAAGCTGCTCAAAGAGGAAGATTGCACTGACCATATGAGACCCCAATTCAATTCGTTCACCTTTGATGTGGGATTCATTCCATCACCCCCACCCCCATCCCATCTGCCCGACTCTATCTGGTCCATGGGCGTGAAAACTAACAGGGGGCTCACATCGACTCTAATTCACGATAAGAAATGAATTTTGGGTCTAACTCAACCCCTAAAGTTAGCTCATGGGGAGAGGATTACCCAAGATAATTTCCACAAATTGTTGGGTTCTCGTTATGTTTATGAGAAAAAATACAACTTAAGAAACCCAAATGACATGTCCAAGCAAAATTTCAATTTCAAATCATCAAATCATGTCTAAACGGGCCCTTGGAAATCTAAATTATGTGGAGAGAAAACCTTATGCTTTTCATGTATCTTTTGACAATAATGCATTTATGTAATTAAAAAAAAAACAGCAGATTGCTCACAATGATTTCTAAGGATAAGCATGTATAATGTAGATAGCCTTTCAAATAAGACATGCATGTGAACTTGCCATATTCAGAATTACATGATCGATTAGAAATATTATAAGAGTGTGTTTCGTAAATATGCTCACAAAAATATAAATTATGATATACATATTCCAACTGAAAGAATAGTAAAAAAGATTAACACTGTGAGGCAGAGCTCATGAAAAATAGCAAGACTTGATTTATGATCACCCTACCTTCTTCCTTTCAAGCCGAGGAGTTTTAGCATTCCCATTGATAGATATGTCACAACTCTTCCAACTGGATATAGTATCAAGGAAAGCCATGCAACTGGCCTAACCTAGAGGCATTTCAAATCAGATTTCATCTAAGATTTTTCGAGCATTATCAGCTACATGGAAGAACTTGATCTGTAATATTTAACTATTAATAAGTCTTGGTTCCAACCAAGAGTTCAACTTACCACAAACCTAGCAACTTCTGTGGCATTGTGAACAGCAATACTTTTTGGAGTAATTTCCGTTAAGAGCAGGATCGCAACCTTGCAGCATAGACAGAAAAAAGGTAGCACGTTAGCAACACTGGCAGAATATTGCATTGCAACTGACACAAGCAAGAAGAAGTAAAAGGGGTCTGAGTTTATTCAATTTCCAGTTCTTGTCAAACAAAGGGAGACGGACTGAAGTATCTTCAGCAATAGAGTTTTATCACAGGAGCAAATCAGACTCTTTTTACAAGTCAGGGAATGAGATCAGACTCCTTTGGGATTTTATTTTGAGAAAGGTAACAATAGACTCCTTTGAGAACTACACTTTGATCTGTATTCAACCCATCAAGCATATGCTTTTTAGCCTAAACAGATTAGGAAAATATATGTGTATGGAAAAATCTAAGAACAAAGTAGAAGGAACATGACATACCGTCATAACTCCAGTTGCTGCACTCACACCAGCTTCACCAAATGCCGCAGTTGCAGCCTCAGTAACTAATGCTGTAGCTGCAATATTGACAACGCTGTGCACACAAACCAAATCTAAAATAAGGAATAATCTTCAACTACAAGTGCAGAGAAACAGTTTAAGTCATGATTACAACATCAAATGAGCAGTACGTTGTTCCAATGAGTATAGTTGTAAGGAATCGAGTAACATCACTTCTCAACATTTTGAAGACTCCTTCATTGTCAGATTCTTTTTCAGCTAACTCTCGCACCTAACATTTATAAGTAGAAACAACTAATTGCATTAATAGACACGTGAAATAGATATGCAAACAATTAAATAACAAGTTCTGTTCTTTAAAATGATAGAGAAGAAAGAAAAAGCTTTTGAAGGCAGAGTACTAGAAAGAAAGGTTTTCTCATGCACCTAGAGCCCTAGATAATTCTCAGTATGAAATTTTTGAATTTAATTGAAATTGCAACTCAATATAAGCTTCTAAGTGGCTAGCTGAATAAGTGCTACCTACCAATATTGAGCCATAAGGTCCAGCTGAGCCCAGAATACATAAAACAAATGTGAACACTCAAAGCTAAAGTCGGGCAATTTTTTCTATCAAGTTAATTACTAGGGAAATCTTAATAGACAAGGTAAACAATAATTTCATTGATTGCTTCAGTTTTATGTGCAATGTCCTTCACTCTACATCTCCTTATTACTCTGGAAGTCAAGTCTATGTATAAACAAACCAATGTCTATTTTTACTCTTTTATGCCCTTATAGTCTGAAAACTCAAAAAATAGCAAACACAAGAATAATAAACCCTCTAGAATGCTTCCTACTACATATAGCCTTCCTCATCTACAATGTCTCACACTAGTCCACATTTCTACCAACCAGGCAATATGTTACTTTAATTTTTAAGGAGCATGTTTTTAGAGAGTTACCATTTCATTCTAAGCACAACCATGATACCTTCTTTCTACGTTTAGACAGGTGTACGTCTACACTGGTTCAATTTGGAACAACATATATAAACTTGTACAGCTAAAGGGACTCACCCTAAAATTGATGAAATGAAACTACTGAGAAGGTGAGAAGCATAATCATTTATTCATTAAACTTGAGTATTCAGCATGCTAGAATTAATACAAAAGTTCTATGCTATTTTTCTTTATTTACATTAAGAAGTATTTAGACGACCACGGAATATACACACATAACACATAAAGAAACACTCAAACTTGGCCTCAACTAACAAGTAAGCACTCCAACTATGAGTCTGCACATCTAGACACATCAAGCATCCACGAGACAGAGTGGGTACGAGTTGGAGTGTTTATTTGACAGTTCAGACCCAGTTGAGGTGTCCATATGTGCACTCTCACCTTGGAGTGCTCACTTGCCGATTGACGCGAAGTTTGAGTCTTTATGTATTATGCCTAACATATATGTAACAACAGCTACAAAACCAATGCAACTCTTAAAAAGGACAGCTTTTTCTATTGAACAACACAATGCATACAAAGAGGAAGCAAAATAGGTACCTTCCACGGCCAAAGCGTAGTTATTGATGTCTCAGCCATCGAAAAAAATGCAGAAAGACTAAGAAGCGCCGCAAGAATCAAACCTTGTTCTTTAAACATCCTGAGAACCAACAATACCGTAGGCCAATAACTCCTCAACAAAACCAAACCCTGCTCTAAAACACCATATCCTCCATTCAAAACCCCTTCAACAGCAAACACCCTTCTGCACCCAATTAAAAAAAACCCACATATCACCCCTACCAAAATCACCCCTTTTTTCAGCAGGAAATGCATAAATGGTATTTTCAAGCATGAATCTTCAGCATTCTGAAACTCCCCTTTACCCCCTTTAACAGATAAACAAATCCCATTCCTAAAATTACACCTCGAATTGTAAGGAAGAACAAAATTTGACGCAACCCCACATGAGTAACGAAGGTTATTAGCAGATAGCTTAATGGGTTTTCCTAATTGACGAGTATACACGCCTGGATACGAACGTTTATTACAAGTAGTAATGAATGAAGATGGATTAAAAACTGCAGCATCCATGGAAATTTAGCAAAATTAAACAGCTCAAATACCAAAACAAAGCAAAAAGATTTTTGGGTTTTTGAAGAATTGAAGATTTTGTAGAGATGAAATTGAGCAGATGGCAGAGCTCATTGCGTTTAAGCCTTCACCTGCCTCAGTTTTTTCACCTTTTTCTTTTAAGCTCCTCTTCTTTGAATACACAAACAAGTATTACTACGCTACTACTAAACAACTCGCAGTTAATGAAATGACATATTTGACCATCATAGTTACTGTATATGTTTCGAGCCATATTAATTCAGATTCGTTTAATCATTTTGTGTAATGTCATGTTCGAACGTAACTTATGGAATGTTATAATATCAAAAAATAAACTCAGATTCCACTAGAAAATTTATAGGGGCAAAAGTACGAATGACTCCCTGAATTTGGAAAGTCGAGAAGAGAAATTTAATTTATTTCGTTAAAAATCATGATAGTGAATCATGATAAATCTATATTTGAGAGTATGTATTAAAATTCTACCTACAAATAATACATATATGAACTCGAATACATGCAACAGGTGAACAACATAAACGGAATTTCTCAATGATGTCTTCACCCTGCATAAAAAATAGTGCGAGAGTTTGCTCGTTTCATACCGAAAACTCTAATTAGAGAAAATTTGTGGATCAAAATTATTTAGTCAAAAGGAGTTTATTGTAAAAGTATTTCAGTTTTGCTTGTAGAGAAAAATTCAAACACTTGTAAGTTCACTTCCAACTCAATACAAAAAGTTTTACTACTTTTACAATAAGGAACAAAATCCGTGCACTCTTAACTAACTAATCAATTGACTCAACATACATTCAAATTATTGGTAAACAAATACTTAAAACATTTTTTCACATCAAAAAGTCTAAAGAAAACAGATGCCATTTCACTATCAATATTGCACAAATAGATGAACTTCTTTCACTGCCATAAGATTGTTGCAGTTTCCCTCAAGTCACATGCAATGAGCTGCATTTCGCGGGTTCTTGTTCAAGCTCTATCGTCCACGGATGGAAACTCAAAAGAGTGTTAGTGTCTGAGATTCATGTGTACTAGTTTTCATCATCATCATCGTATAACGTGGTCAATGAAAGATTCATGTGTCTGAGGCATTCTCAAAACTTGAATTTGATCTCATACTATACTCAGCCACGAGCTTGGCAAACAACGAGGATTCGTTCTCTAATAACTTGCCTGGAGTGTCATATTCAGCAATCAGCCCTGTAGTATAGCAAACAAAAGAAAGTAAATACCAAGAATTTCCACCTCCGTTTGTTCAAAAAATGCAAATGTTGATTCATACCGTGTTCTAATAGTAGGACCATGTCACTATCAAGAACAGATGTTATCCTATGAGCGATGGTTATAACAGTGGAATCAGTGAAGTGCAGCCTCAGAGTTTGCTGAATTAGATTGTCAGTTGCAGTGTCAACAGATGCTGTAGCCTCGTCTAGGACAAGGACCTTGCTTTTTTTGAGTAGCACGCGGCCAAGACAGACCAGCTGCCTTTGGCCTACGCTCCAGTTCTCTCCATTCTCAGATACTGCAGCAATCCAAAGAATATAAGCATTATAAGTGTCACAGCTTTAAATGTGGAAATCATCGGAACATGATGTGGTTCTAACCTGTAGAATATAGCTTGCCTTCCTTCTTCCTAACTTCGTCTCCTAGTTGACATTTGTCCAGCGCCTGAAACATAAAATTGAATAAAGTTTCTCAATACATAAAAGTTTCATTTTCCAATGTGAAACCAAAATTCTAGAAATAGGCAAACTAAGCTGTTACCTCCCAAATTTGATCATCTGAATGCTCTTCGAGCGGATCTAGGTTGCTGCGTACAGTTCCCTCAAACATAGTCGGATCCTGCGGAATGATACTCAATCTAGACCGCAGATCATGCAGACCAATTGTGGAGATGTTGGTACCATCTATCTTTATTTGTCCAACAACAGGATCAACTATGCGGAAAAGGGTCTGTATTAAAGTTGATTTACCACTGCCTGTCCTACCAACAATTCCAGTCTTCTTCCCACCAAAGAAAGTGCATGTAAGTCCTCGTAACACGAGAGGCATGTGTGGAGCATATCGGACCTATAAAATTTTTCAGATTTATCAACACATACAATGAATCAACAATAATGCACTCTACCTGCATAATACCAGAGAACAACTCAATTTACCTGAAGATTGTTGAACTCAACCTCTCCACGAGATGGCCAATTAGGATCTGGTCTATTAGACTCTATAATAAGTGGAGGTTCACTTGGAAGACCAGCATACTGAAGTATTCTTTCGACGGAAATAATTTTATTTTCCATCATACAAAGATTCCATACAACCCAAGCTTGCAGTACGTTTAGATTAAGTCCATATGTAACAGCTAAGCCAGCAACACCTGTAAGGGCAGGAACAAGGTGAAAACATAGGTGAGATTGTACTCTTTAGAACTATTTAACAAATTTGATGGAATGAAAACCTGATGAAGATAGAGCACTCACTTGGATCGATTGTTCCAACAGGAAGAGAGATCAAGAAAATCAACGCGAAAGCAAAAGTAATCAGAGATAACATATCCAAACGCATGCAAAGCCACTCCATCGCAGCAGCTGTGTGAAACTTAGGCCGAGAATAATTGTCTATTAATCTCATGCTTGCATCCTGGAATCTAGATTCTTGATCGAAACTTCGAATTGTGCTTGATCCTGAAATTGTTTCAGCAAAATGCTGTATTACTGGAGCTTTGCATGTCCCATTTAGACGTGCCAGTTCTCGTGCTGCAGGGATGTAATATTGCTGCAATTAAACAAAACACACCACTTAATTATATAATTCATGTTCACATACGCCACTAAAGTAATAAAATTCAGAGAATAGAAAAAAGCAAAGTAGCAACCTCCAACCAAATGCAAATTGCAATGACTGGGATAAAGACTATGAAGATCTGCCATGCGACTTGTGACATTACTGCAATGATTCCTATAAGCTGTATTATTGTGAAGGCAAAGGATCCAACTTGAAAGGGAACATTTAGATCGATTGCACTTTGATCTGTCGATGCCTGTTGTCATCCAAAGCACATTTGAGCAAATTCCGAAGTTGCTAGTTAATTTTCGATAATATTCATTGGTCATGTAAAGAAACAAGTGGTAAGTAAAGAAATGTAATCATTCACTTACTCTATTTAGAATCCGCCCACTTGGTGTGGCATCGAAGAATGACATTGGAGCACGGAAAATGCAATGATGCATTTTATGGAAAAGCAATGAGGCAGTCTTATATCCAGCGGTAACAAGAAGCATGGATCTAGCGAAGATGCACAAAGCACTTGCAATTCCTAATGCAACATACACAATGATAAGGGTAGAAGAGCCAACAGGAGACGGATCATTCTTCGAAACAGGGGTTGCCCAAGCCATCCAATAATTGCTTCCAATTTGAAGAAGTTGAAAACCAGTTTGTGCCAAAAGTATAATTGGGACAAGGGCACCTCCATATGCCGTAGTTATATATTTCCAGTAAACTGAAAAGCCAACACTACCCTTCTCTCTTTCTTCCTCCTGAACAATTTGTCCCTTTTGTCCAACAATATCATCAACTTTACCATTTTGACCGTCTGAAGTCTGTTTATCCTGCACATTGGTGTTATCACCAGTCATTCCACTACTTTCCTCGCTCTTTTTCAGTGCTTCTCCCTTAACCGTGTCAATTGCAGTTAAAGCTTCTTGGTGAGCACCGACAAGCTCCATGAAGTCACTACCTAATTTAAGAAGATCATTGTATTTCCCAGCTTGACTGATGTTTCCATCCTTCATGACCTTAAGAGAAAAACATATCAAATGAGTCAAACTCGATGTACAAGAAACAAACACTAATTACTCGAGGAACTAAAAGGAAAGAGTACCAAGATCAAATCCGCAGCAGGCAAAAACTCCACTTGATGGGTAACATATAGAACTGTTTTCGAATTCAATAGCCCCATTATACATTCCTGCGATTAAAAGATGGGTCAATCAAGGGCTACGTAAAAGTATAAAGTGTGAAACTAAAGCATATGAAATGACTTACAGTGAAGAGATGGGTTCCGGTATGAGCATCCACAGCACTGAATGGATCATCAAATAGGTAAATATCAGCGTCTTGATAGAGAGCACGTGCAATCTGTATTCTCTGTTTCTGTCCACCGCTCAAATTTATGCCTCTCTCACCTATGACTGTTTGATCACCAAAAGAGAGAATTTCCAGGTCTTTCTTTAAGGAGCACGCTTCAAGAACTTTATCATACTTATCCCTCTGCATCTCTTTACCAAATATTATGTTCTCTTCGATCTTTCCACTCTGTATCCAGGGCGTCTGTGCAACATAAGCTTTCGTTCCACCGAGTTTAATAGTCCCTGATAATTTGGGCATCTCCCCTAAAATGCTAGAGAGTAAGCTTGATTTTCCAGAACCAACAGTACCACAAATGGCAACTCTCATGCCATTAAGCACTCTAAGATTTACATCCTTTAGAAGTGGAGTGGTGGAAGATGCATCCCAAGCGAAGTTCCCATCAACAATCTCAACTGCTACATCAGAACTTCCTTTTGGAAGCTTCTCTATGACATCAGGCTGCAAGTCCTCAAGAGAAAGGAAAGATGCAATACGATCGAGAGAAACTTTGGTTTGAGCAATCATTGAAATTGTATCTGGGAGATTGTAGATGGGCTCCTGGAGAATTCTAAATGTCGCAAGTGCAGACAATATCTTCCCGGATTCAAGTGGGATTCCCATAAGCATTGCAGCACCGAAGGCCGCTACAGAAACAAATGTAGGAGAAACCCAAAACACAAAAGTAGTCGTAGCTGATGTGTACACATATTTCTTCAACCATCCTGCCTCGATACTTCTGAGGTCCAAGATCCTAGACAGAAACTTCATCTCCCAAGCTTGAAGCTTGAGTATTCTCATATTTCTTAAGACTTCAGATGTAGCCTTCATCCTTTTATCTTTCGACTCCATGAGTTTCTCCTGAAACTTCTCCTGCAAACTCCCTAAAGGAATATTTAACAGCATCACTAGTACTGTAGCCACAAATGCTGCAATTGAAGCAAGGCCAAGATTTTTATAGAGTATTAGCAACGCCAGACCAACTTGTATGATCACCATCCAAGGATCATGCATATAC